CTTGATTGATTACTCTCCACTCCAGAGGGGAAGCGAGGCCTAATAAAGCCTGACGGGGTGGGCTGTGCGCCTGTCGCCATGGAGATGCAGGAAGCAGTGTGCTGATGATTAAAACCTGCTCAGGCAGAAGGCCGTTTTTGCTTCCCAGGGAGAAGTCTGAGGTGGGATGCGGTTCGGAAAAGAAGCAAAGCTGGTGTTTTGGGGCCGGGCTAGCAGCCCCGGTTGTGTGTTTTTGGAGAAGCTGGGTGGTGTAGATGCTGGCTTGCCTTTATGCCTCTTTGCAGCGGTCCTCTCAAATGAACCAGCTCCCAAGGAAGACTGGGCAGGCAGATGGGCGCTTCCAAGTTGGGGGGTGGGGTGCAGGGAGCAGGCTGGCTTTGGGGGAGGGCTCCCTTCACTGGAAACATAGGAGCTTGGCTGTGGAATGAAAAGAAAGCCCCATTAAAGGCAGCTCTGTAGTCACCAGGGCCCTATTTGAAATTTGAAACAATAAACCATCCTAGTCTTGTGCGATTTCTTTGTTAGCACTGTTGACTGTCTGTCATTTGGTCAAATCCGTGGTGGTGCCAGCAGGAGGAGGTCTCTGGCTTTGCTGTATCTGGGAGGGCAAGTTAATTTCCTTGGAGTTTCAAGGAGGGGCTGCCTGGAGCCAGCCCTTAAGCCTTTAAGTGATCCTTTCCTCGGAACCAGTTAAGCCGTGGGCACCGTGCGGTGGATTGCCTTTCTCTGGGTGGAAGATAGGAATCCATGCTTGTTCCAATTATGGAAGTTGAATGGCTCCTCAGAGAGCCCCCTTTCCAGCTCCTTTTGTCTCCCTGGCAGTAAAAGGAAGCAAACTTGAAATGGAAATTAAGATTTAGCCTTTTGGCTGTCTGTGGCTTGATGCCTCTGTGGGTGGGATAGGGAGCTGGCAGGTGGCTGGTGCTGGTCCTGCAGGGGGAGGGCTGGGGCTTATGATTTGCCGCGGGAGGACGTTCACTTGAGGTCTCTGGTCCTGGTGGTCAGAATGGGCCCCAGCGAGCAGATGTAGGGTGTGCAAAGACGGAGCTGTGTATGATGCTGTGTGTGGCAGAGCCGTACACAAAGCCCCAAGCAGTGAGGTGTTCCTGGACTGGGTGGAGAAGGAAGGATCAGAGCCTTCAAGTTGGAAGCTTGAAGCTGGGAGGGCGGACAAGGTGAGCATTTTCGACAACCGCCTTGTCAAGTTGGATTGGCTTGATTGCCTCTCTTGATGGGCGACTCACTTCCTACTGAGCCAAGGCAAGCCTGGCTTTGGGCAGATGTGTTGAAAATCCCTTTGCAGACACTTTGAAAGGTCTGTTGCCCGTCAGTCTGGACAAGATCTTCTCGGGCTGCGCATTGCTCGGGGCTTTCTGAGAGGCTGATGTTTCCTGGCAGTTACTGCTCTTCCCGGAGTTCTCTTTCTCTCCACTCTTCCTCATGC